CCCCTCCGGGACCACACCCCCTCCGGGACCACACCCCCTCCGGGACCACACCCCCTCCGGGACCACACCCCCTCCGGGACCACGCCCCTGGCTCCCCTCTTTCCACCAGACCCTGCCTAATAATGGAGGTCAACTGTGCACCCTCATAATCCAGCTACCTTCCAAACACGTGAGGCTTTGGGGGCAGGCTTGATAAAGTGTCCTTTCTCAAAGTTTTGTAACTCCATCCCAACAGTGACGCCACTAGCCGTGAAAGAAGCTAAAGAAGTTTTCTAAAACAAAATGTTAATAGATTTCTGTAGGCTGGGCTCTGTGCTGAATGCTTCAAATTATTTCTTTTCATCTTTGAATTTGATTTTGTTTTTTGTTTCGTGTTGTTTTTTGAGACAGAGTCTTGCTATGTGGCTCAGGCTGGCCTCAAACTCACAGTGATCCTCCTGCTTCAGCCCTCCAAGTGCTAAGATTACAGGTGTGCACCACCATGCCTGGCTGAATTTTATTTTATTTATTTTTATTAATTAAATATATTGGTACATTTTAATGTAATAATGATTACATTCGTTGGGGGGAATTTGTACCTGTACATATTAATAACTTGATTATTTTTTGGAAGTCATGTTTTCAATCCTCAAAACTTCCCTATGGATTAAATCACCCCTATTTTGTGGATGTGGAAACTGAGGCTTAAAAGAACTAAATAACTCACCCACAGTTAATAGCTAAGCAGAGCTTTGAGCCTAGGGAGCCAGGCTCAGGGGCCTCGGTCCTCATCCACTGAGTCGTACCACTGTGAGTCCTTCCTGCTTCTAGCCGGTTTCTAGAAAGCTTGGAGGCTGGGAGGGTGGCTCTTACTAAATACACAGGGGCTGCCGGAAGGAGCTGGCTGTGGAGAGAGAGCACACGGTCAGTGGTGGGGGCTGGGAGCATGCTGCCTTTTGCGGACGCCCAGGGGCAGATCAGTAGCTCTCAGGAGCTGTCCTCTTAGGGTCAGCTTCGTGGGTGCGGATTGGCACAGTTGGCAGGTTACGGGGGAACAGAAGTGGCTCAAAACAGAACTTGGAGATCGCAATCGTTAAGCCAGGAGCTGAGAGAGCCAAAAGTAGACTAAGGCGGTCGCTAGCGGCAACAGCCTGCTGTGTTCCGGAAGGCCAGGAGCGCCCACCGGCGAGCGAGGTCCTGTGCTGATCACCCGACTCTTCCTCCCTCCGCAGTGGAGCAGGTGGCCAATGTGGTTCTCTACTCCAGCGATTATTACGTCAAGCCAGTGGCCATGGAGGAGGCCCAGTAAGTAGCGGCTGCGGTTCCATTTCCGGGCTTGCAGCCTTCTTTCGCTCCCAGCTTCCTCTTTTGTCCACGCCAGGAGAGAAGTAGCAGTGTGCCCAGCCCGGCCCCAGCTTTTCACTTCCTTCCCCTTTGCTCGCTCGAGGATGGCAAGGAAAGCCAGTATGGAAGCCGTGTTGGCCTGGCCTGACCTCACTGGACTTCTAGATCCATCCGCGCTAACAAACGAGGAGAGGACGGAAGTCAGGGTGGGACTGTCCCTGCAGGAACAGCGGGCCCTTCTGTGTGTCCTTGGAGTGAGCTGTCGGGAACGTGGCTCTCCCTCTGCCCCTCAGCAGATGGCCAGCCAGGGCTCTAGCTTTTGATCTTCCCTTCAATTTGAAAATCGTGTATCAGTGACCGGACTAGGGAGCCATCTCCTCTTTTGGCCTGTTGTTGTGACTTGTGTCGCTTTCATAGACTCAAAACCAAATGAGGTTCCTGCAGCGGCTCCTTCATGCAGGCAGGGGCGTCCTGCGGGGTCTCGCTCTGTGCTAGGAGGTCAGAGAGATTCATTCTCTGCGGAGCTGGGGAGGAGGGTTAAGCCCCACCCGGAACGCCTTTCCCACTTAACTAGCTGGCGTGTGCTAAGCACCCTGTGGGTAAAAAGCATCACAGAGTGAGGGGAAGGTTGGTGTGGAGGGAGGGATTGGTGATGAAGAAAGATAAACTGATTCACTAAGATAATATTACATAACCTTTAAAAGGCAACTTGAGGATAAACTATTACTCAAAACAATTCAGCCTTAGGTTTAAATCTAGGTGTGCAGCGGAGGGAAGCAAGAAAGAACCACAACCCGCTGGCTGACATTTTGTGCCAGGGCTGGGGTCCGTCCGCGTCGGGCACACCCTTGCCATTCTTGCCCGGGGGGCCTGGCCCTGGCTGGCCTTTTGGCAGATGTTCAATGGCAGGAGTGGATCTCGTGGAAAGCATGGAGATCCCCAAGGGGCAGGAGGGAGGGTGGAAGCTGAGCCAAGTCAGCTTAGTGGGTCGCTCAGAAGGCTGTAGGATGCAAGCCCCTGTCCCCGATCTGGCAGCTCCTGGGGCTGCGGGGTGCAGGCCTCCTCCAGCTGGGTTCCAAGCTGCTGCCTACTGTCTACTCCCAAATCCTGCAGGCCCTGGGAAGTGGCCCCAGGGCCTTGGCACTGTCCTTTGGCAAGATCTGCTGCAGGAAAAGCCACCATCCAAGCCCACCCCTGAGGCGCCTTCCTACACAGTCGCCTTTACACGGCAGTGTGTGCTTCGGTCGTTGCTGCTGCCAGAATCAAGCTCATTAGAGACTCACACAAGGCCCAGGTGGGAGGATGTGGGCTACCCCGGGCTCCAGCACAGTCCTGTACTGCGCTTCCTGTAGCCACCAGAGGCAGGATAAGCCGCAGCTGCTTTAAACTCTCTGGGGAGATGGAACAGGGAAGTCCTTCCCGTGAGAGGCAGTCAGAATTCAGCTGTCTGAGACTGCGCTCAGGAAGTGGTCCTGGGCCACACCCTGCCTTCCTCTGTCCCCACATGGGGATGGGTGTTGCCGCCAGCACACACGCTCTGTGGCCCAAGAACATGCGGCCACCAGGGTTGGCATGAGTGCCAGGGTGGTGAAGCACAGGCGAGCCAGAGCCGCGGGGCAGCCACGTGAGCAGCAGAGCCCGCCCCCAGCCCCCATGCTGTGTGTGCTCCTGCCTGCGGTGTCCCTCTGCACCCCAGGCTCACCCTGCGGCGCAGGGTCCCACCCATTTGGGCAGTCCCCAGCCCAGATGATGAGCGAGAAGAGCCTCGGGGAAAGAGGGTGCTGCCTTGACCCCGACTCCCAAGTACGACTCAGAGTGAGGTCCCGCCTCTGCTGCTCACCAAGCCAGTGCCCCTGCTAGTCCCCTTTGTAGGGACGGTGGTTGGTGACCAGAACCCTCCTGGCTGGGCTTGTGGCCGACGCTAAGCTAAAGCTCTGCCGAAAGGCTCTGCCATGAAGCCTCAGGAGGAGACTGGCTGGGTCTCTGAGCCGGTTGGTCTTACTTAGCCCCACAGAACATTCTAGAAAGTGCATGATGCAGAGCAGGCCAGGATGGGAGGCTAGGGGAGCCGTCCCAGGGTCGCTGCTGGCTGCAAGCGTCCCTGACAGCAGCACTGTGGTCTGGGAAAGCGCCCAGCGTCGGGTCGGGGGCTCCGGGGGTGGTGGCTCCGGTGGCTGCAGATCTCCCTGTTCTTCCTGCAGAGAAAAGGTGCCGCCCAACAGCACTGCGAGCAAGACCCTGGTGCTGCTGCCCCTGCTGGCAAACAACCGGGAGAGGAGAGGCATCGCCCTGGACGGGAAGATCAAGCACGAGGACACCAACCTCGCCTCCAGCACCATGTGAGCCCCTGTGACCGGCAGGATGCACGATGGGCAGGTGTGGGGCCCCCAGGGAGCCTCCCAGCCACACCGGGAGGTGCTTGCATTGGCAGCTCCAGACGCAGCCTTGTGCCAAGCCTGGCCTCGCTGCTTCCTGCTGGGCTGCCCGGGGCAGATGCATGAGCTGTCCGAGCACCCCCATTTCCCATCGGTGAAGTGGAGGTGATAACAGTTCCAGCCTTAGCGGGTATAGAGCGGTGACACAGACCCCGTGGGAAGTGCGGTGCCTGACACAGAATGACCGAGAACAAAGCAAGTCACGGAGTTGGCTGCCCTCACACATTCATTCACTCCCACCAGAGCTGCAGGGGTCGATGAGACCCTGGACTTAGACTCCAGAGCTAGGAAATGCTGTAGAGCCGGGTGTGGTGGTGCACGCCTGTCATCTCAGCACTCGGGTGGCTGAAGCAAGAGGATCGCTGTGAGTTCGAGGCCAGCCTGGGCTGCGTAGTGAGTTCACGGCCAGCCGGGGCTATAGAGCAAGACCCTGTCTCAACAGAACAAAACAAACCCAAACAAAAAAAGAAAATGCTACACAGGGATGCTCCAAAGTCAACACCCGTGGCCCCTTGCAGGCAGCTTCTTAGGCCTCTGCTCCTGGGAGTCGGCCTTCAGAGAGCTCAGAGGTTTGGGGAGGGGCCAAGATCTGGCTTGAGGCCCACGACTGCCTTCTCTCCATGTGAGGTGCTGGGGTCCCTCGTGTGCAGCACACCACCTCCACGGCGACTGTGAGAACCGTAGCTCTGGGGCTCACGCTCCACAAGACCAAACGCGGGGCGTGGGGTGCAGAGTGCAGAGCGCAGAGCGCAGAGAATACCTGGCAGAAAGCAGCTGGCAGTCGGAGGATTGTCTGAGGACAGCTTGCCACGTTGTTGTGTCAGGTTTTAAAGCTCAGTGGGCAGGCCCCTGGGAGAAATGGACAGGAGAACCGATACCCTAGACCTACATAAGGGTGCCGCACGCGTGATACCAACAGCGGCTCCCCGCACTGTCAGCGCACGTTAGGGTTTGTGGTGTAGTTCTCAAACACATACGCCTCGGCACACTTTTTTTTTTTTTTTTGGTCTTTTTGAGACAGGGTCTCATTATGCAGTTCAGGCTGGCCTTGAGCTCACTTTGTAGCCCAGGCTGGTCTCAAACTTGCAACGATCCTTCTGCCTCAGCCTCCCGAGTGCTGGGATTACAGGTGTGCGCTACCACGCCCGGCTCGGCACACTTTTGTGAGGAGGCTGTGCGCTCCTCGTTTTAGGGCTAAGGAAATGCTCCCTAAGTCAGGCTGCGGTGCGAAGCCTTCCAGGGTCCCTGAGTCAGTTAATGGCAGAGCAGAGCGCACGCATCGGCGACTCCCCGGTCCAGGAGGACTGTGGGCGAGAGCTTGCAGGGTGCTTGGGCCTGTGGCAGACGAAGCATGGGGCATTTCCTGTGGGGTGCAAGGGACCGAAGAGGAGCCACGCTCTGCCCTGCGTGGCTGCTGCAGGGGAAGACGCATGACTTCACAGAACACCAGGGTGTCGAGTGCCAGGACTCTGGGAGCCCAGGGGAGGTCACCGGCCCTGTAGGTGACCCGGTCCCCTCCTGGGCGCTGCTTCCCGCGGTACCGCTCACCCCACTCTTCCTTTCTGTTGGGCAGCATTAAGGAGGGTATAGACCGTACCGTGCTGGGCATCCTGGTGTCCTACCAGGTCAAGGTGAAGCTCACCGTGTCAGGGTAAGTGTCTGCAATGCTCCTGCACTCGGCCCGCTCCAGCATGGCCTTCAGCCCTCCTCCCTGCCCCTTCCCCGAGGACTGTGTTTGTCAGCCCTCCTGTGTCTGCCGGGGACAGTCCAGGAAAGGCACGCCCTCTGGGCACCATGCTGGCAAAATGGGAATGCGTGTGCTTGCGTGTGCGAGTTGCTAAGCACAAATGAAAGTAGTTGGATGTCGTGCTGTGCTTCAGAAAAGCACGCCTGAGGAGCTCACAGTAAATCCTCAATTATTTCTGACTTGGCATCTAGGGCTGGGCATAGTGGCACATGCCTGTAATCCCAGCACTTGGGAGACTGAGGCAGGAGGGTCTCTACAAGTTGGAGACCAGCCTGGGCTACAAAGTGAGCTCAAGGCCAGCCTGAACTGCATAGTGAGACCCTGTCTCAAAAAGACAAATAAAAAAAAAAAAAAAAAAAAAAAGAAGGCATCTCAGGCCAGCGATATAGCTCAGTGGCACAGCATCTGCTGGGCAAGAGCAAGGTTGTAAGTTTGATTCCTGGTACAAAAAAAAAAAGGAGGCATCTATCCAGGAAGGGGACCCTTCCCCTTGGCCCTCTGTTTAACTATACCTTGAGCAGCTCCTTTGCATTCAGGAGAGCCCACATTTCAGAGTTCGGGAAACATGTCCTCTGTTATTTAGTGAAAGCAGTTTCTTTCATTCCTTGAATCTCACCGAAAGGAAAAACTTTAGTTTTCATTTCTCTTCCACATTCCACTGCTGAGAGCTCTAGTCTTTCACCTCAGTGAGTCGTGACTGGGCGTCAGTGGGTCCTTGTGCGCACGTCCCACATTGCTAGGTAGACAGAGAGTTCCCCCAGTTTTGCTTGGGGCAAAAAGAACACGGGTCTGCTTTGGATATTTTGTTAGCAGCACTTGCCGTGTGTTTTCCAAAGCGGGTAATGCTTTCTTCCCTTTCCCTGTGAGGGCCTAAAAGTAGGGTGGGGCTTCTCTGAGCAGGCCAGAAAGGTGGTCCTCCATCTCCTGGGGCTCCGCGTCCACAAATTCAGCCAGCGGGAAATACTGGGAAAGTGTGGACTGAACGAGACTCCCCTTGTTCGCTCCCTGAACAATACAGTCTGAACAATACAACTATTACGACGTGGTGCTGACTTGTATCAGGCACTGTAAGCCACTCAGAAGTGGTCTCGAGCTTTTGCATGGATGCCCGGTGGTCAGATGCAAATACTGCGCCACGTTAGAGAAGAGACTCCACGGAAAGCACCTATGGATTTTGGAAGCTACCCACCCACCCCTCCCCGCAGATAGCAAGGGACGGGGACAACGGTGTCCCACACCTCCCTGTGGCCTCTGAGGCTGAGAAATTCTGATTCTGTGGCTTGTGCCCCAGCCTAAGGGATCCTCTTGAGAATGGTCCTCTTGAGGAAGCGAGGGAGTCACAGCAGAGAGGAGGGATGGAGCGGACATGAAGGGTGGCAAAGGTGCCGGAGGTTGAGGGTTAGCTGGAGAGGCCCGAGGACAGGATGGAGCCCCGCCTGTGGGCCGTGGGGCGGGGAGCAGGGTGCAGCCGGGCTGTGGCGGGGGACATGGTCACAGCTATTGTTTTGTTTCCTAGCTTTCTGGGAGAGCTCACCTCCAGGTAAGCCTCTCCACCTCCCCCTACTGCCTGATCCCCGGGAGCCCCGGCCAGTGAGCCTGGGGTCTAGATGGCAACTGGGGAGCCCTGTTCCAGGAAGCGGTGTGATGAATGCTCCCCACTGCCTCTGAATGTGTGGCAACACGCTTGGCCGGTGACCCCCCCCCACACACACACCATGATGCACATTCCACGAAGCTGTCTTCTGTGTGAGTTGCACAATACACAGATACGAATTTTACATTTCAGTCTTTCAAAGTGCGCAGCTCAGTGACACTAAGTATACGTCTATATCGTACAACCGGCACCCCTGCTTAGACCCAGAACACTTTCACCACCTAGAAAGCAAACCTGCTACCCAGGACGTGATAGGGTCAGTTCCCCTCCCTGCACCCCTGGCAACTGCTACTCTGCCTTCTGTCTCCGGGATTTGCCTATTCTGGACATTGCCTATAAACGGAGTCCTAGCATGTGTGGCTTTTCGGTGACTGGCTTCTGCACTTAGCGTAATGTTTCCAAGGCTCGTCCATGATGTATCATGGACTAGTGCTTCATTCCTTGTCGTGGCCAAATAATATTCTACTATATGGATAGCAAACATTTTGTTTACCCATTTGTCTGTTGGTGGACACTTGGGTTGTTTTCACCTTTTATGAAGAGTGACATCTGTCTTTTAAATCACGCACAAAGAAGCAACAAGTTCAGAAATATTTGAGACAGCACACACCTATATCCCAGCACTCAGGAGACTGAGGCAAGAGGAACACCACAAGTTCAAGGCCACCTGAACTACATAGTAAGACCCGGTCACAAAAAAACAAAACAAACAAAATGCTTGAGACCAGCTTTGACCTGAGGAGGTTCTCTCCCGCAACCTTATCACCTGCATCCTCTCCCGGAAATCCGGGTTCCACCTGTTCTTCCACCACCCCTACCCCCGCGCCTGTCACCTGGTGATTTGTGGATGGGTGTCTTCTGCCCAGAGCTCAGCCTGGAGTACAAGTAGGGGCTCCTCTTTTCTCACCCCTTCCCTACCTTTCCATTCACCCTCTCTCCAGGATTCCTTTCTGCCTTCCTTCTTTCCTTCTTTTTTTTTTTTTGTCTTTTTGGGACAGGGTCTTGCTATGCAGTTCAGGCTGGCCTTGAGCTCACTTAGTAGCCCAGGCTGGCCTCGAACTTGCAATGAGCCTCCTGCCTCAGCCTCCTGAGCGCTGGGATTACAGGCGTGTGCCACCACAGTCGCCTGCAGAGAGTATTTTTAAAAACTATCCTTCCTCTGGGATTTCTCCTCTTCTCTTCCCAAGTCGTCATGTCACCACAACTAGTAACCAGGGCTACGGGAAACCTGAGACCTACTAGAAAGGCCTCAGCCAGGCCAAAGGGGAGTTCCTGGACCACATTCCAGGGAATGCGTTTCAAATTCCTGCTCTACCACTTCCTGATTTCTGCTTTGTTTGTTTTTGTTTGGAATCCCGCTGAATTGTCCTCAGGCCTGAGCCTGGGGATCTTTTGCAAGTCTCTATCACAGCTTCTGCCATGTGACTTGTAGTTGTGAGCACGTGTGTCTGTGTGCGCGTTGTGTACTCACAAGGATCCGCATCCTTTCCTTCTAGTGAAGTGGCCACGGAGGTTCCCTTCCGCCTCATGCACCCCCAGCCGGAGGATCCAGGTCAGTGGTGCTGTTATCTGGGTTGTCCCTAGCTGTTTCCCCCAGCGGGTTCGTGACATTTTTATGCCCGGTCTTTCTTGACTGCACCTCTCAGTGGGGAAGTGGCCAGGCAGGTGTCGCACATGGGGAGATTTGTTCAGTCCTGAGCTCGTCGGGTTAGTGTGGGACAGGGACCGCCTCAGGAGGGTTTTCAGGAGCGATTTCCAAGCAGAGGTTCTGCTGCCAACGATTTGGATTTAGATTTAAAGATGATTTAGGCCCCAAGTAAATTTCACAGCCTGAGGCTATTGTATTTCATTGGAGAAAAAAAAGCTCTCGTATTTCATCCGGAAGCACTAACAGGCATTTAGAAGATGAGAAATGTTTTTTGAAAGTGGCAGTTGTGGTGAGAGTACAGAAAATGCTAGAAGAGAGAGTCAGGCCAGGTTCCTAACACCTCCATTTATCTGAATTATAAACTCACGGGCTGTTCTGTTGTCCTGCGCATGTTGAGTGCAGCTACACAACTGCGTTTACACAACTCTGCAAGCACACTAAAAACATTGTCACCGGAAAGAAGGGACTTGGGTCTGGGCGTGATAGTGCACACCTGTAGTCCCAGCACTTGGGAGGCTGAGGCAGGAGGATCACCATGAGTTCAAGGGCCAGCCTGGGCTACCTAGTCAGTTCAAGGGTAGCCTGCACTACAGAGTGAGACCCTGTCTCAAAAATCAGCAAAATAAACCAAAACAAAAATAGATAAGTACAGACATAAAATTAAAAGGGCTGGAAGTATAGTTTAATGGTGGATACCCCCTCTTCTCCCCGCCCCGCCTCCCGTTTCAATCCCCATTAACCAACCAAAAGGCAAAGGAAGCAGCAGAAAAGAAGAAGGTGTAATTTCAGAAATTGAGGAAAAATCTTGCACAATATATTAAGGCAGGCTGGTTGGCAGGAAAAAAAAAAAAAAAACGAACCCACCTGAGTGTGACTTCTCCATAGTTAGGTAATAAAGAATATTTTAAGTGAAAGTGGTATAAACCTTCCGGATCTATTTTTCTCAAATTTTATAAGTAGTGTTTTTGTATTGATAAAGAAATATCATTTGAATATTGGGACAACCCCCCATACTCATTTTAGGTTTTGTCTCAAAATATCTTTCCAACTATGTTTGTTTGTTTTGATTTTTTTTTTGGTACTGAGAATTGAACTCAGGAGGACCTTGCCAAGCAGGTGCTGTGCTGCTGAGCTATATCCCCGGCCCTGTTTGTTTGTGGTGAGACAGGGTCTCACTATGCAGTTCAGGCTGGCCTTGAACTCACTATGTGGCCCAGGCTGGCCTCAAACTGCCAGCAATCCTCCTGCCTCAGTTTCCTGAGTGCTGGGATTACAGGTGAACACCACCACGCCCGGCATTTTTCCAACTATTTTGGGTTCAAGTCCTCAGTTCGCTTTTCCAGAAGCTTCCCCTGGAGGGAAATCCAGTGTAGTTATGCATTTCTGATTCATTTATGTTTCAAATGTCAAAATACTATTTTTAGACAGTTGTTTGGGACTAATCAGGAAAACCCAGAGGTGGGTTTAACTCTCTGCCCACTTGGTGAAGTTCCCGTGTGGCAGAAGAGCTACAGAGGATCTGAGGAGCACAGTGCAGTTCCACAGGCCCTCTGCTTTTGTGTCCCTGACCCCCTGCAAGCCAGCACAGAGGAGGGGGGACTAATCAGGAAAACCCAGATCAAGCCATCTTGAAATACACCCAGATACAATTTTTAGCTCTGTGAGAGGAAGGTGTTTCCTGGTTTCTTTCAAGGACCTGAGGAAGACAGTCACCTGAGGAGGCATCATGGTTTGCATTGGATGCTTTTAGGCAGACTTTGTGACTTAACGTGGGAGAGGTGGGGTTTTTCTTCCTCCACCTCTGACATTTTAATCCTCTTTTCATTATAGCCCTTACAGTGGACATCTCATGGATGACACAATGATCTTTTGTCTTATAGATTTCAGGGAGTGGCTGGGCGTGGTGGCGCACCCCTGTAATCCCAGCACTCAGGAGGCTGAGGCAGGAGGATCATTGTGAGTTCGAGACCAGCCTGGGCTACAAAGTGAGCTCAAGGCCAGCCTGAACTGCATAGCGAGACCCTGCCTCAAAAAGACCAAAAAAAAAAAAAAAAAAAAGATTTCAGGAAGCAAGAGTTAGGACAAATCCCTCTGAGACTGCAGAACTCTGATTTCCTCAAATTTGTGAATGACCTGATCTTGTATCTCCTGTCTTCCTTGCCTGTTCCAATGGACCTGTCCCTATGAAGTAATGTAAAACTGCTAGTGAGGCCGGGTGTGGTGGTGGTGCGCTCCTGCAATCCCAGCACTCGGGAGGCTGAGGCAGGAGGTTCACCCTCAGTTTGAGGCCAGCCTGGGCTACAAAATGAGTTCAAGGCCAGCCTGAACTGCATCGAGAAACCCTGTCTGAAAAAGACAAAAGCAAAGCAAAACAAAAACAAAAGGTTGAAGAGTTTATTATCCTCTGAAGAGCATCTCTCCGGAATCTAGGGATGCTGATTGCATCTCCCTGCTGTCTATACTGCTTCAGGGTGGAGATTTGGCTAGTGTGCTGTCACCTTAGTGTTCTGGGGCTGCAGGGCCTTTCTTGCCAGGGGAGGTTTCCGTAGGCCAGCAGCTTTTTGGTCCCCTGTGCCCTCACAGAGTCCCCCCTCCTCTGTGCTGGCTTGCAGGGGGTCAGGGACACAAAAGCAGAGGGCCTGTGGAACTGCACTGTGCTCCTCAGATCCTCTGTAGCTCTTTTGCCACACGGGAACTTCACCAGGTGGGCAGAGAGCTAAAAAGAACAAAACGCTCCAGCTGAGACAGACGGAAACACAGGGAAACACAGTCTGCCCTCGGAGGTCAGTACATGCACGGAAATCGAAGATGAGGGGCCAGGCATGCCCTTGAGCCCTAGTGCACACCTCGCTCTGGGGTGCTGGGGAACAGGAGCTCCCAGGTGTCCCCCATCCCGAGAGCCCAAGGGGGTGACATCTGGAGCTCCAGCATCCGGCGGCAGTGGTGTGGTGACTGGGACTTCGAGGGGGTCATAGGACGCTTAGGGAGAAATCCTTTGAAGAGAGCAGTGACAGCGGAGGGGACAGTGGTGGTGGAAAGGGTCCTAGAGGGGACAGCATTTGTGGCAGTTGCGCCACTGGAGGTGAAGCTGGGGTGCGGTGCAGAGGGAGAGCGCTGGTCTAGTGCACCTGAGGGAGGCCCTGGGTTCCATCCACACACCGGGGGGAGAAAACTGATGCTTAAAACCCACAATCATAGCCGGGCATGGTGGCGCATGCCTGGATCCCAGCACTCAGGCTGAGGCAGGAGGGTCGCTGTGAGGTGTAGGCCAGCCTGGGCTCCATAGCAAGACATTGTCTCAAAAAACAAAATCCATAATCATGGATGATGTGTCCCTAGACCTCTGACCTCTCAAACCACAATCTGCTAAGGGAGAGATATCCGGATACCGCCGTCCAGGCTCCTTGCTAACCTGCCTGTCTCTCTCCCCCTCCCTCTCCCTCATGCCTTCATTTGTGCTTCCAGCAAAGGACAGGTGAGCCAGTCAAAGCCAGCCCAAGTTCCCTGTGTCCTGTGACCCTGCCTCCCACACAAACCCGCCCCGAGTTTCCATGCATGTCCCCTGTATCCCTCCGATCCCAGGGACTTAGGTGCCGGCACACACGGTTATGCTGGCTGGGTCTCCCGCTCTGTGGATGGCTTTTCTCTTATTTTTGTTTAGTGAAAAGCTTTTAAAGGAAAATTCCTGGGTCCCCTGTTCCATTCTGGGGAAACCTTGATTGGTTCCTTTGGTGCAAAAAGGTTGAGGTTTTTGTTTCCCTCAAGATATTCTCGGTTTCAAGGAGCGTGTACAGCCAGGCTTGGTGGTGCATGCCTATGATCCCAGCATTCGGGAGGTTGAGGCAGGAGGGTCACCCTCAGTTCCAGGTTAGCCTGGGCTCCATAGTGAGTTCAAGGCCAGCTTGGATTATATAGTGAGATCCTGTCTCAAAAAAATAAAAAATAAGAAAAATAAAAAGCAAAACAAAGCAAAGATGCCGGGTGTGGTGGCACACACCTGTAATCCCAGCACTCAGGAGGCTGAGGCAGGAGGATTGCTGCAAGTTCAAGACCAGCCTGGGCTATAAAGTGAGCTCAAGGCCAGCCTGAACTGCATAGCAAGACCCTGTCTCAAAAAGACAAAAAAAAAAAAAAAAAAAAAAAAAAAAAAAAAAGCAAAGAGCACATACTAACCAAAATGTTGCCTGTTTTTTTTTTTTTTAGTTTACAGGATGAAAATTTGGTTTTCGAGGAGTTTGCTCGCCAAAATCTGAAAGATATGGTTGAATGTGGGGAAGGGAAGAAGGAGGAGGAAGAGGCTGCCCCTGAGGAGTGAGCAGTAGGCTCCCTCCCTGTGCAGGGCCTGTAGTTCCCTTGTGGCAAGCGAGCCCCAGGGTCTTGCCAGCTACGGAAATATGAGTCTTCCTCTCAGAAATAAAGTGTGCCCCTGTGTCCGGTCTGAGTCTGGCTGATTGGCTGGGGATGCTGAGCTGATGTCCCTGACATGGAAGGTGCCATCTCTAGGGTCCCTGGAGCACGGGGGTGAGGAGCAATGCCGGGAAGAAAGGCCAGGCTTCCACAGAGCACCCGGCGTGGCCCACAGGGGCCCTGGAAGTCGAGGTGCTTGCTGGCGGGCCCCAGGGTGTCCAGGGCCTTTCCAGGGGTCCTGATCCATCTAAGCTGCTTCTCTGGAAACACATGGGGGCTTTGTAATTGCCCAACCAGTCTGCGCTCTAGGGTCCCTGAGGAGCTCCTGAGATACACTGAGCAGAGATCAAGTATAGCGGGGTGTGGTGGCCACGCCTGAGGTCCCAGCACTCGGGAGCGTGATGCAGGAGGATCCGCATGAGTTCACGGCCAGCCTGGGCTACATAGTGAAACCCTGGTTCAGCAAACAAAACCCCCTCAAGCCAAAGCCCCCCAAACAACAGGCCCCTCAAATACACGAGGGTTATGGTCCTGGAGCACCTGCAAATTGTGAAAGGCCCTGAATTTCAGATATGGCCAGAAAAATGGCAGTAAATGCCTAGTTTTATAGTTTAAACCCTAAATATGCTCTGTCTCCTATAGTTATGTAAGTTAACTTAATAAAATACTGCAGTAATAAAGCCTCGGTGCAGGGCACTTTGGCGGTATCTTAGGGATTTCAGGGCTATAAGAAGAACAAAACTGAGAACCCTGGTGACAGCTGCACACGGCACAGCAGGCCCTTGTGATGCGGGAACGCGGGGGCGTCCGCCAGAGAAGGGGCTGCCAGAAACACCACGGTGGGAAGGAAAAATCGGAAAACACTGAGGCCTTAAACTCTGAACCGCGAGGTTACCGTATACTGTAAGAAAGTCTTAGAATTCCTTTGCTGCTGATTCAACTTTGAGATCCAAGTCCCCACTTGACATCTGGGTTGTTGTAGGTTTCTGCTGAATGCAAGCAACAAAACTAGAGTTGGATGATGTATACTTGGAGGGCCCTGGAGCGTGGGAAACTGAACTGAGGCTGCCAGGCATGGTGGTGCATACCTGTAATCCCAGCACTCCAAGAGGCTGAGGCAGGAGGATCTTAAATTTGAGCCCAGACTTGGCAATGGGGTGTAGGCTAGGCTTTGCTGGGTGGGGCAAGCCAGCAGCTCAGTCCCCCACCCCTGCCATCATCCAGGCTTTCATGCAGTTGCTGGGAAGGAGAATCTGATTGGCTCAGCTTCACCTGGGTGAATCAGCGCCCCAGCAGCGGGAGCCCATCCCTGGGGATGGGTTGTTCCTGGAAAAGGAGTTCCCTGTGAGCCAGGTGGGCTTCCTGGTTACAGGTCTCACGGAGACCGGTGTGGGGGTGGGGGTGCTGTGCGTGAGAGGAAGGTGGAGGAGACCTAGAGGGTCCTTTCAGGGGTCCCCTTCCCAGCCCATGGTGGCCACCAGCCAAGGTCTGCTGCTGAGCCACAGACTCTCTTGACACACACAGGGGACGTGTGACCGGGTGTGGTGGCACACGCCTGTAATCTCAGCACTCAGGAGGCTGAGGCAGGAGGATCACTGTGAGTTCAAGGCCAGCCTGGGCTACACAGTGAGCTCAAGGCCAGTCTGAACTGCCTTGCAAGACCCTGTCTTTTTTTTTCTTTTTTTTTTTTCTGGTACCGGGAATCAAACTCAGGACCTTGCGCTTGCCAGGCAGGCGCTGTGCCGCTGAGCTAAATCCCCAGCCCCGAGACCCCATCTCAAAAAGACAAAAAAACCCAAAGCAGAACAGAGGGGACGTGTGGCTCTGGCCTGGGCTTTTGGGGAGCAGGTAAAGTGGTCTAGGGCTTCTGCACCGCCGGCCCACTCATGGAGGAGCATCACGATGGGAAGAGGGCTGCATGTGGGGTGTACACTGGGGATGGGGGTTCTGGGGCCAAGAACAGTGGCAGAGAGCTGGATAGGGCGTGGGTTACACACACACACACACACACGAGGCCCCAACAAAGGGGTTGTGGGGGGGGGGGCTCTAGGCTGGTTTGTGGGGTGGGACCTGAGTCCTCCTCTTGGATGCTCGCACTGGTCCTGCACAGACAAAGCAAGAGTGGGCCTGTGTGCTGACTCTGAGGTGCTGGTATTGGCAGGCATGAGGTTTCATTTCTGGATTAAAATAACAACACAGCCAGACGTAGTGGCGCAGGCCTGTAATCTCACCACTTGAGAGGCTGAGGCAGGAGGATCTCTGCGACTTCGAGGCCAGCCTGGGTACATAATGAGACCCTCTCTCAAAAAACAAAAAATAAAACAAGAATCAAACTGTGAGGGGCTGGGGATTTAGCTCAGCGGCACAGCGCCTGCCTGGCAAGCGTGAGGTTGTGAGTTTGATTTCCAGTACCAGAAAAAAAAAAACAAAAAAAAACCCCCAAAAACCCCAGGAAAACAAATTGTGTTACCTATAATGTACCTACTCTCTAAAATGGATGTAAACTTCATGTACAGCAAACATATACTAGTAAAAATCAGTCTAAACTACATTATATAGATAGCCCTAGTCCATAAAGCAAACAAATAAAAAATGACAATAGCAATGCAGATGGAATATGGTCTTGGTAGGGTCAGACAATCTCTCTTTTTCTCGCTCCAGCCCAGGGCCCTCTCTCAGGGCACCCAGGCAAAGGGGCCTTCAGAGTGGTGGGCTGGGGACTTGCTAGGCTGAGCATGGTCCTGCTGGTGCTGCCCCTGCATGGCCAGGGGCGCACAGGCTGCGGGCTTAGCTCCTGCCTGAGCAGAGCTCTCAGCCAGCGCCAGCCAAGGCTGAGACTCCGCCCTGAGCGCCTGGTGAGAGGACCAGCCTGCTGGTTCCTGCATTGCTTGACCCCAGGACATCCTAAGTCAGGGTGGATGTTAATAGGCCCGACCTTTGGAACTGTGTGGGTGGAAGAGCAGAGGGAAGGGCTAGAAGACTGATCCCTGGAGATCGGAGGTCAGAGCAGCCCTTGCCCGCCAAGTTATTTTGGTGCCAAAATGTCCCCATGCAGCCTCCAGGTGCTGGCTTGTTTATGGCCTGCAGCTGGCCCGCCTGGGGGTGGGGCCGGAAGACAGCAGCCAGCTGCCCCAGCAAGGCAGCCTGCACTTCTGTGGCGTCCTCTCTGCTGGTGTGCGGATCCCTCAGGAGACAGGAAGTCTGCGGGCAGGTTGAATAGGTGCCCTAAGGTTTGGGGCAGGTGCAGGTGTAGTGCAAGAAGCAGGGTACAAAAGAGTTGTACAAAGTGGTGCCTGAGAACGTGGGACAAAGCTCTGCAGTGAACAACCAGAGGGCTGGAGAAGCAGAAGCAGGGGTTCCTGCCAGGTGCTGGGTGCCTGCCTGGTGCCAGGCCCTTTATGTAGGAAGCATCCCAACAGCGATCAAGAATTCCTGCGGTTCCCATCTGCCAGACACGGAACCTGAGCTCAGAGCGGTTAGGTGCTTTGCCCAGGCCCCACAGCCAGAGGGAGTGGAAGCCACGCCTCAAACTCTGGCATCCCTGAGTCTACAAACATCTTTTGTCCCCTGGATGGTGCTGAATGGGAGCAGGAGAGTATGGGGTCCGAGGGGAGGTTAGCACTTGTGACAAACCATGGCTGCCCCAAAGGTTGTTTTGGTACTGAACCCACTGTGCTCTACCACTGAGCTACATCCCCAACCATTTCCACTTTATTTTTAAGATGTTTCCCCCTACCCCCGGCCATACAGGGGATCAAATTCACGACCTTGCGCTTGCTGGGCAGGCGCTGTGCTGCTGAGCTAAATCCCCAGCCCCTATTTTTAAGGTTTTTTTGAGGCAGGCTGTCACTATGCAGTTCAGGCTGCTTTTGCTCTATGTGGCCCAGGCTGGCCCATGGGATCCTCCTGCCTCAGCTTCCTGAGTGTTAAGGTTACAGGTGTATGTCATCACACCCTGGTCTCAATTTTATTTCTTTTTGGTACCAGGAATAGAACTCACAACCTTCATGCTTGCCAGGCAGGTGCTGTGCCGCTGAGCTACTATATCCCAGCCTCAATTTGATTTTTGAGACGGAGTGTCCGAGTTGTGCAGGCTGACCTAGAATTGGTGATCCTCTTGCCTCAAACTCTCCAGGTAGCTCAGATTACAGACACATGCCACCACACCCTGCTAAATCATTTTTTCCAATTGAAAATTTTTTTTTTATTAAAATCAGTGGTATTTCTTTTTTTTTGGCGCTTGCCCGGCAGGGGCTTATGCCACTGAGCTATATCCCCAGCCCCTCCAATTGAAATTTATACTGAGGTCATTGCCCGTTTACCTGCGGTAGTAAGGAGCAGTTTGGAGAGCTCACACTGACCCTTCCCCATGGGCGAGATGTAAAAAGTACATCATCACAACCAGGACATCCACACCACCACAGGCCACCCATGCGACCCAGATCTTCCCAACTTTACACTCCTGTATTTAGTTTTTTTTTTTTTTTAATTATTTAGTTTTCTTCAGTTTTATCACATGTGCAGTTACCTGCTTCTTAGGGTGTTTGTTTTCCTACCCCCTTAACACTCTGTGTTGCTCTCCTCCGCTCGATTTCACAGGGCCTGGACAGTTTACTTCACTGATCCTTGTGGGGGGGCAGGTGGGGTGGGGGCTGGGCATGTTTAAAAGGTGGGAGGTGGATGCACAGTGCCCAGCACCCAGGGCCAGTCATCACCCTTGGTCAGGGCAGAATAGGATCAGCCACCGTGTGCAGGTGGGCTGCGCACTTTTCTGCTGGGATCACACCTCCCACTGACCTGGCGACAAGAAGGATCAGACGGATGCACAGTGTTATTTCTGCCACCTTCCTATGCCTGGAGCTGGGGTGAACTCAGGGTGCAGCGGCTGGAGACGTGATTCACAGCGTGACTCATTCCACCAAGAGCCACCTGAGGGAATGCTGTCTTCCCTAGGGAGGGGTGGAGGGGAAGTCTGGGCTCAGCGGTCTCCAAGGGAACAGGGCCTGCTGCTTCAAGAAGGGGAC